GGGGCCGTGATGTCGTCCTAGTAAGGGCAGAGGATGTGGCCCCGGGGGACATCGTGAGCTTCCGGCTGACAGCTGCTCTGTACCAGGCCAAGGCCCACGGTAAGGCCCACCCTGGCCCCAGGCCAGCCCTCCCCGGGAGGGAGGCAGGTACTGGCAGAGGGGAGGCGCTGAAGCTCTAAGTCATCTATAGACGCTGGAGAAACGGGGGCTCCAGCACATGCTCCTTACCCAGCTGAGACAGGGCTTCTGGGTCAGTCTTGGCCAAGGGAGACTTCCCATCTTCTCGCCCCAAATGCCAGGGAGGCCAAGGCCTGGATGCACCTTCTACCTTCCTGATGCAGTAGCTGTGTCCCAGAAAAGTTGGTGGCAACTCCACCTCCTCCTCCTCCTCGTCCTCCTCCTCATCCTCCTCCTGTCCCTCCCTCTCCCCCCTCACCTCCTCGGCACCAGAGCCATGCCAGGCCTCTCCACGTGTGTGCTGGTTACCTCTCATGACCACCCAGAGTGTTCATTCACTTGCCCACACCCCGCCAGCATGGTAAGCCAGGACTCCAGGCCCCACGTGCATTGCAAACTCCTACTCGTGCTTTTGGGACTTGGGAAGACCTGTAGAGCCCTGTGTAGGCTCCACACACACTGTCCATCCAGCTGCAAGCCCCCATGTTCTAGAAATAGTCTCTAAGGAGATGTGGAGGCAGCCTCTGGGTCCCGGACAAGCCCCCGCCTCTCCTGGGACATTCTCCTGCTCTGTGAGTTTGGACTAAGAGCCACCAGCTTTGACTCTGGAATTCTGGGAGGAGCAGGACCAAGCTGGGGACAATCAAACCTAGGAAGTCACCAAACCCCAGGTTGTCCCAGCGTCCAGCAGCGCCTAACTACTGCAGCAGTGGTTTCTGTGTCCTACTCACGGCCCTGTCCCAGGAATCTGGACCAGCAGCTGGCACAGGGAGGGCGGGCAACATGTTTGCAGAAGGAGGGAGGAAGGAAGGAGGGAAGAAGACAGGAACGAAGGTCGGAGGAGAATGGGGGGAGAAGGGGCGAAGCTCAGCCAGGCCTCTCTGACCCTCTGCTCACCTTTGGACAGAGATGGTGTGAGCGGAGGACCAGGCAGCAGGCAGAAGCAGGTCATCTGAGTGCTGCTGCAGTCCTGGGTCACTGGGAGTGCCCCCCACCCCTGTCCCCACATCTGAACCCCTCTTCGCCCTGACCTTACCCATGTGGCTCTTTGCAGACCCCGACGTGGTATCCCTGGAGGCTGCAGACAGACCCAACTTCTTCCTCCACGTCACAGCCAACGGGTCTCTGGAGCTGGCTAAGTGGCAGGGCAGTGAGACCTTCCACCACCATGCGTCCTTCTCACTGCACCGCGGGACGTGGCGGCCAGGCCTGGTGGCCCTGGAGTCCCTGGCACAGCCCAGCTCCTTCCTGTCCGGGCTGGGCCCTGCGCTGGCCCTGCGGCTGTACGAGCACTCCGAGGCATTCCGCCGAGCCACACTCTTCCGCCTTCTGGGTAGGCGGTCTCCAGCCATCACCCTGGCCCCTCACCTCTCACCTAACTGCTCTCTCCTCCCTTGCCCCAGCTCCCCCTTCCAGGAGCCCTAAGGGGTGGGGTCCCCACACTCCTGGCACAGGGAGCCCAGAGGGGTGCCTGGGTACCTGGGCCCTGAGATGGGGGAGCCCAGCTCCGCTTGGTGGTCTGGGAGCCATGGCCATGTGGCTAGGGGCAGCCTGTATCCTGGGCCCTGCTTACTGTCCCAGGCTAGTGACACAATCTGAAAGTACTGTGGCCTTTGTGGAAGTGGGGGAGCAGTGGGTCTGCTGTAGAGTGGAGCCAGGAGCCAGGCTCAGGTTTCTCACTGATGGCGGTAAGTGTCTGCCCGTGAGCTCAGACTGCCTGCTGGGCTCCAAGCCAGGGAGCCAGCGTCTCTCCTGTCCTGATGGAGGCCCTGGGCCCTGGAGGTGATAGGGCAGCTCCCCAGCTTCTACCCAGGCCCAGCGTGTCCCGGACTGGGGCAGCTCCTGCCAAGGATGTTTATTTCACATACCTGTCACTCATCACTGGCTAGGAGGGCAGAACTACTGTCGGGGGAAGACTGTCACCCTCTGGATGACACTGGGCAGAGTGGGATGAGCCCAATGTTAAAGACTAACAGCCTTGGGTTCGAACCCTGATTCTGGTTCTTGGCTCCTGGAGGAACATCTCCGTCTTCCCAACTCTGTTCCTTCACCTGTAAAATGGGGATATGTCCCTCAAGAGGGTGTGGTGGGACCAGCAGTTGGTGTGATGGCTATGTCGCTGGACTCCCATGTAGTCGACTGCGGTTTGTGTCCCGGACTTGGTGGCTTAAAACTCAACGCCGGGTGTGTGTGTGTGTGTGTGCCCAAGATCCAGAGAAGAGAAAGGAGGAGAAGGGATTGTGGCTTGGCCATCCCCCTGGGGGGTGATTTCTCACTTTCTGTCTCTCTGTCTCTCTCTGTCTGTCTGGCGAGCACATGCGCCCTGTATCAAAAAACTCTCAAAAAAATAAAATAAAATAAGAGGGTGTGTTGAGGACTGACTGCTTCTCACAGGCTTTGCTCCAGGCCTGGCACCTAGTAGGGGCTCCCCAAATGTAAGTTCTCTACTTTGACCCGCAGGCCCTTGGAAAGCAGGTTTCTTCAGAGGCAGTATCAAAAAACCCTCAAAAAAAAAAAATAAAATAAGAGGGTGTGTTGAGGACTGACTGCTTCTCACAGGCTTTGCTCCAGGCCTGGCACCTAGTAGGGGCTCCCCAAATGTAAGTTCTCTACTTTGACCCGCAGGCCCTTGGAAAGCAGGTTTCTTCAGAGGCAGCAGGGATGCGGGAGTAGGGAACCAGGAGGCGCTGCAGGGTGGGGCTGCCCCCTCCAGCCTGCCACGGACAGCCACGGAGCCTGCCCACGGCTCCCTGCTCAGGCTCTGGTGTCAGACACTGGCCATTTGTGCCAAAGTGATCGGGGGTCCTGTCAGCCCAGCCCACCCACATTTATGAAGATACTGGCCACAGGTCCTCTTTCGAGAACGTTCCTGCACCTCAGTTTCCTCATCTATAAGAGAGGGATAAATGTCTAGGGTTGCTGTGGGGATCAGTGGGCACTTGGCATTGGTGTTATTATTAGCCCGGCCACCAGGGGCAGTAGGCAGGACCTCAGCTGCACCCCAGGTCTGGGAGGGACTTCAGGGAGGCCCTCAGGGAACTGAACAGCCACATCAGAGAAGAGCCCAGCAGGACCCTGGGCTGAGAGGGGAAGGGATCCCCAGTGCCCCTCCCTGCCCCTCAAGGAACCACCTCTCGCCTCCAAGGTCAGCAGTGGAAGCCAAAGAGCCGGGAGTGTGTTGGCATGCAGGGTCGCCCAGAGCCACAGCCCCAGACATACAGGGTGACGAGGCAGGCTTTCAGAGAGATGAGGGTCCAAGCTCCCCTTTGTCCACCTCCAGAGCCCCTCAGTCCTCAGTGCCTCGCCACATTCCCAGAGCCCTAGCCCTAGGACTCCCAGCCCTGCCCCACCGTGAACGTGGCTACCTGTAGCTTGGCTTTTCTGTTCCCTCACTTTCCCGTGAGTCCATCTGCTTTCTGCAAGGGGCAGGGCGGGCATGGGCTGTGCTGGGATCAGCCTTGACCCAAAGCCAGCGTCCATCTCACCTGGGCTGGGGACCCCGGGTCGGGTCCCCTTTCTAGATGCCAAGCCCTCGGGAGCCGCCTACCCCACCTGTGAGTGGCGTTACGATGCCTGTGCCAGCCCCTGCTTCCAAACCTGCCGGGACCCACAGGCGGCCAACTGCCGGGATGTGCCCAGGTGAGCTCCTGGGACGTGCTGGGGCTGCAGGCATGGAGGCGGAGCGTGCACCAGTGTGTGAGCATACTCTGCACGATAATGCACATGTGCACAGGCGTGAATGGGTTTCACATATCCCCGGTGTGTGATGAGCATGTTCTGAGGTGCACACACACACGTGTTTCATGGGTCGCGAGTGTGAGGAGGTGCGTATCAGGGTGCATGTGCCCTTGTAGACGATTGTGCCACATACATGCAGGTACTTCAAAAAGTTCTTGGAAAAGGATTAAAGTACAAGTTTATTTTGGTGTTCAAAGTTGCAAAATGTTTGCATTGTTCAGAAACTTTGAAGATTCTGTGTGTGCGCAAGTGTGAATATCTATTTGTATGTGAGGTGCACATAGCTGAGCACGTGTGCGTTGACGTGTATGCCACTACGACTGTGCTTGAGCCGTACACAGCTTTACGTATGTAAGTGTTGACGGTGCGGAGTCCGTGTGACTACAGGTATGTATGTACGTGTTAATATTTCGGAGTCCAGCAGGCTCAGAAGGGGCACATGAGGCTGTGCGCGAATGTGCCACAGAGCGCATCCATGTGAACGTATGTGTGAGCATGTGCATTGCCAGACCTTGTTTGTGCATGTTTCCCTCCTGCTCTGCCCTGAGGGTAGCATGTGCAGGCGTGTGCAGCATACATTTGGGTACGTGTGCTCCTCTACTCACGTCCCTGTGGAGGCTCCTGTGAGTGTGTACGTGATAAGCATGTATGCACACACACACACATACACACGTGCGTGTCCTAAGAAAAGAGGGGCAGACCCTACGGCCTCCGGGTTAAGGGAGCCAGACCCCACGTGGCTGATCATCTGGTTCCAATCCCAGCCCTGGTGGCTTGAAAAACACACCGGGCGAGTTTGCATGCCCAGAATCCTGACAGGATGGAGAGGTGGAGGGGAAGGGGTTGCAGTGCGACCATGCCCAGGGAGGTGACGTTCTTCCCTTTCCTGTCTGTCCCCCTGTGGCAAGTACATAAGCCCTCTGGCAAATGACAAGGAAAGGAAAGAGGAAGACTGCTGAATTCAGGTAAGAAGAGGCGAGTCTCCGCATTCCAGGTGGCTAACCTGCTCCCTGCTCTGTCCTCAGGGTGGAAGGCTGCGTGCCGGTGTGCTCTGCCCCCAAGGTCCTGGATGAAGTCACACAGAGATGTGTCTATCTGGAGGACTGTAAGTGGCCTGGACTTCTCCCACCTTCCTTGGGTTTCCTCTGAATCCCCAGGGTCTTGCTAAGAGGTCAGGCCCCAGAGCCCCCAGGTCCTGGAGAAGCAGGGTCAGCTTGGGGAGGTCTCTGGGAGGAGCTCCATTTGGAGCAGGCACAGACCTCATCCGGCCTAGTCACCCACTTCACAGACAGAAAAGATGAGGCCCAGAGTAGGGGAAGGCTTGGGTTGGGGTCACATGGTGAGAACTAAGGTTTCTGGGCTCTGGGTCCGGGGTCCAAGGCAGAGTCCAGACCTGTGGACTTCACTGAGGTCATCGCATGGCATGGGGCAGAGGCCCCTGTCTGCCAGGCCATCAGACACTGCTCTTGCCTTGTCGTCCGGGGCGCCAGTCCTCGAGACCCCCAGATCGCCCCGCCTGGGGATGCCCTGGGCACTGGCCACGTCTGAACCTCTTCTATCGTCTGCCCAGGCGTGGAACCTGCCATTCTGCTTCCCACAGAGGCCCTGGGCAATGCGACCCTGCCTCCCAGTCAAGTGCTGTCTGGCCTCAGTGACAAGAAGCCACAGCTTCCACAGGAATCTCCCAGGACCCCCACCCATAGGCCAGGCCTGGCCCCAGCTGTCTCACTCACCACAACCCCTGCAGCCCCTGGGACTCACTGCATCCACCCTCCCTGCCCAGCCCACACAGGCCCCCACCAGCAAGGGAGTGGCCACCAGCCCCCTACCTACCCCCCGCTCTCCAGAGGCCTCACCCCTCCCCCTTTTACTGCAGACACCCACACCTGGCAAGGTATCAGGTACCATGGAGACAACCGGGGTGCCTACAACCTTCGCAGGGAGCCCCAACATCACCGTCTCCTCCCGGTCTTCCCCTGCACCTCGCTTCCCACTCATGACCAAAGCCGTGACAGCTCCAGGCCATGGCTCCTTGCCTGTTAGGACGACCCCTCTACAGTCCTCCTTGTCGGCAAGTCCCTCCTTCAAGCCCGGGACTTCCTCTGAGGTGACCCCCAGGCCCCTCACCTCCTCAGGATCCCATGAGGCCTTGCCGAAACCTGCAGTAACCGAGGTCACGAACAAGACAGGGCTCCCCCAGCCCACCCAGACCCAGAGGGTGACAAGTCCCAGCAGTCCTCCAGCTGTGGCTGAGACAGCCACAGAACAGCTTGCTGTCCGCCCCCTCGTAACCATGGGAGTCGAGGTGGTGCCGTCCACAGGAAAAGGCAAACCCGGGCACGGCCTGCCCATGGGCCTGCCAGCATCCCCTCGCCCAATCCCACTCCCCACTGCCCCACCCCGCCCAGCCCAGCATGTTGCGCCAGCCACTCGGCCCCCAGCTCGGCCTCCAGGGACCCCGGCTGCTGCCGCAGTAACCACAGTCGCTCACGGCCCGGGGGCCACGCCCCTGTTGTCTCTGGAGTCAACGCGGCCATCCCAGCTCCTTTCTGGCCTGCCTCCAGACACCAGCCTGCCCCTGGCCAAGGTGGGCACGTCTGCCCCAGTGGCCGCACCTGGCCCCAAAGGCTCTGTCCTCAGCCCCCCTTTCCAACACCAGCCCACAGCTCTGGCCGTGGCCACGACCGCACCTGCTCGGACCCTCAGCCCAGCTCTGCCTTTCACCCCGGCTGTGATGGGCCAGCTGCGCCCCCAGGCAACAGGCCCGGCCCCAGGCCTGCTTTCAGAAGCCGTGCTGCCAACTTCAGGGGTCGTGGCCGTGGCTGAAGGGGTGGTTTCCACAGTGTCTGCCGCCCCACAGAAGAGCACCCCGGGGACAGTGGCCTTCCTATCCAAGCAAGCATCCCCACCCACCTCTGCACCCAGCTCTGCCCAGGACAGGCCCTCACAGCTCGTGCCTGTGGTGGCCCACACACTTGTCCCCTGGGTGACTGAGGCCGAGGGCCCCTGGGCTGGCACTGTGCCCCCAGCACCCACATCCCATCCCCTGAGGCATGTTTCAGCCAGGACGGCCTCCCGAGAGAGCTCCCTGGTCCTGCTGCCTCAGCTGGCGGAGGCCCTCAGGACCTCGGCCAGGCCTCGGCCACCAGCGCAGCCTGCGGGAGAGGCCACCACCCAGCAGTCTGAGCGCTCGGCCCCGGCCCAGAGCAGCACAGCGGGTTCTGTGGAGGCCTCCACAGCCTCTGCTGAGGCCAATACCTCTGCCACCTGTGTGGTGAGTGACTCGTCGGGTCTGGCTGCCCTAGGCGACCCTCCCTGACTGCCTTCCCTGCCCTGCGCCACTGGGCTTGGGTGCGTGCCCGTACCCCGGCCTGCACAGTTCTTGTCTCTTAACCAGCTGTGAGGCTGCAGGGCGGAGGTTTAGCCGTGTCCTGAACCCTGAGCCCCCAGCAGAGCCTTGCTCCGCCCAGCTGTGCCCTGGGGGCTGGTTGGATGGCAGGGTGTAACGACACAAGCACAGCAGTGTGTGCGTTTTGTGTCTGTTACCTGCCTGGGCCTGTGTGTGCACATGTGTGTGTTCACATGTGTGAGACCAGAGAGTTCATATGTCTGTAGTCTCGTGTGTGATGCAGTGTGGAACAGCTTCGTGTGTACCTCTGTGCCTTTGAGAGAGCATGGGTGTGCACGGGCTTCCGAGTGTGAGCTAGTGTGCATGCACATCTGTGCCCCTGGAGCTCTCCACACAGGCCAGGCAAACATGCGGAGTCCCAGGGACTCGCCTGACCCGGGGCACAGATGGCTGGTCAGGTGGTGGGGGTGAGGCCTCCATTCCCTAGTCCTTCTCCCTCGAAGCCCCTGCCCTGCTAGTCCTGCCTTGTGGAAAGGATCGTGTCCTTCATGGCTTGGGCGTGTGGTGGGGCCGTGGCCCCCAGGACAGGCGCTCACTGCCTCTCACCCCTCGCCCCCGTGCCCAGCCAATCGCCGAGCAGGACTGCCCCCGCCACATCTGCCTGGAGGGCCAGCTGCTCCGCGTGAACCAGTCCCAGCACTGTCCTCAGGGCGCTGCGCCTCTTCGCTGTGGGGTCCTGGGCCTCGCCGTGCGGGTGGGCGGGGACCGCTGCTGCCCGCTCTGGGAGTGTGCCTGTGAGTGAGGGCCAGGCTGGAGCCTCCCATGTCCACTCCTTGCCCTGACCCGCAGACCTCCAGCCTGCCCTGTGGCTCCCCAGCCCCCCGACCCTGGGCCGCACATCTCCACATAATCCTGACCTGGACGGGTCCTACTCGCTGTCAGTGTGGTGCCCGATCCGAGTGACCCTCCGACTCCCAGGGCCTCTGAGCCATGGAGGAAAGGGCCAGGCTCCTTCTCTTGCTCAGAGTCCACCTTGGCCTGTCGGCTGACTCTTGCGCCCTGGCCCTCTCCAGGCCGGTGCTCAATCTTCCCAGACCTGAGCTTTGTGACCTTCGATGGCAGCCACGTAGCCCTGTTCAAGGAGGCCATCTACATCCTCAGCCAGAGCCCGGACGAGATGGTCACCGTCCACGTCCTCGACTGCAAAAGCGCCAACCTGGTGACTCCCTGCCCCTTCTCCGCCAGGACCTAGGGACTGGACTTAGCGTAACAGGGAGATTGAGCAGTGAGCTGGGTTTCGAGGGGCACCGGAGGCAAGGATGTGTGGAAGCCCCTGCGGCAGCTCCCTGTGTCCCCCAGGGGTCTCCTGGAATGAACATGGCCTCCCAGTTGCAGGCCAGGTGACGGCTCCCTGGGTGATAGGAAGAAAAAGTTGGGTGGAGTGCGCCACCTCCTGGCCTTGCTGGGGCCTGCACTCTTCCCGGCTTATGCCAGCTCCCTAGGCCGGTGTGGGTGGGCACCAAAGTGCAGAGCAGCTGGGATGCCACCGGGTGTCCTGTGGTTGTGGGTGTCCGCTGCAGGAGGTCACTTACTAGGATGGCCCCTGAGCCGAGTGGAAGGAGGCAGCTTTTCCTTCCTCCCTCCCTTCTCTTTCTCTCTTGGCTTGTGTGAGCTCAGGTGGAGCCGGTTCCATGGGGTTCTGTGCACCATCTGCAGAGCCCCCCGTGGGTGTCCCTGGTGTGTGTGTGTGTGGGAGTGTTCTCACACATGCTGTGCCCCTTCCCTCAGAGGGCGACGTAGGGTTGATGAGGGCTGACTCTCTCCGCAGGGGCACCTGAACTGGCCCCCATTCTGTCTGGTGATGCTGAATGTGACTCACCTGGACCATCAGGTCACCATCGACCGCTTCAACCGGAGGGTGAGTGCGTCAGAGAGCCACCTCTGGGCCCAGGAGGAGGTCAGGCGAGGGGGGGACATCAGAGGTGCAGGCCTTGAGACTTAGTCAAGAGTGGGAATGGGGGTGGGGAGGGGACCCTCTTTGAAAACTTAGGCATATTAGGAAGTGCGTTTAATTAGAATGCTCGTGGCCACTCTACCTTCAGGGGAGGGAGTGTCCTAGGGGGCTATTGCGACAGAAAGTCGAACTGGCAAGAGCCTTCAATAGCTGTGGTTAAAGTAGCGCCAGTTTTTAACTTCTTCCAAGAGAGGAAGGAGCCCTGAATTAGAGCCCCATCAGTCTCTCATTAAATTCACTTGTCAGGTCAGGTGTTCAGCTATAGACCCCAGAGGGCCTCTTCGCTCCTCCCGCGGGTGGGAAATGGACTGCTTTGTCCCCTCCTCAGGTCCCAACGTCATGGCTCCCCGCTCCTTGCCAGTTCCCATTCCTGAGCTAAGACTTCCTGTCGGCATCTGTCCTCGGACAGTGAACGCAGGGTCCCCCCCACTCTGTGGCGTTCTCAGGAACAAGACAAAGACAGCGGGTTTTCTCTGAGATGGGGCCTTCAGCAAAAAAAACACAAAACACCTCCCAGAGTCTCATTCCTACATCTTTTTTGGGGCAGGACGAAGATCTGCAAAGTGTTTATGGAAAATGCATATTATGAAAAAAGCTGTGTGTGAATTTAAAAATGTTTCATGCACCAAAATTAATTCATACCTTCATTTTTCCATACACTTTTTGAAGTCCCCTCATATTTTTTTCATTAAAAAAAATCTAAGGTATTAATATACAGTAAAATTTGCCCTGTTTAATGTACACGTCAACAAATACCTCGTCATGTAACCACCATCATAATATAGAGCGGTCTCATTGCTTCAAACAGTGCCCCGTGCTCTCCTCCCGCCTCCTGACAACCGCTGTCTCCTGTCCCTACAGTTCTGCCTTTTCCAGAATGTCCTGTAAACCCAACCAGAGCGTGTAGTGGGATTCATTCATGTTGTTGCATAGATCAATAGTTTGGTCTCTTTTGGGACCAGCAGTTGGTGTTATGGCTATGTCGCTGGACTCCCATGTAGTCGACCGTGGTTCGAGTCCCGGACCCAGTGGCTTAAACTCACGCCGGGCGCGTGTGCGTGCATACCCAAGATCCCGAGAGGAGAATGGAGGAGAAGGGATTGCGGCGTGGCCATCCCCCCTGGGGAGTGATTTCTCACTTTCTGTCTCTCTGTCTCTCTGGTGAGCGCATGCGCCCTATAGCAAAAACCTTTCTAAAAAAAATAGTTTGGTCTTTTTTTTATTCTTGCATAATAGTCCATTATATGGATGGACCACAGTTTATCTATTTATCACCAAAAGATTGTGTTGTTTCCAGTTTAGAGAAAAAAATAATAAAACAGCTGTAAACATTTTTGTCCATGTTTTCTATGGATAAAGTCCCCAGAAATGGATTTCTGGGTGTTATGGTAAGGGTATGTTTAACTTTACAATACTTACCAAACTTTTCTGAAGTGGTCATTTGGCATTCCCACCAGCAATGATTGAGAGTTCCAGTAGCTTCACATCTTTGTTAGGACGTACTAGTGTCAGTCTGTTTAGTCACTTTAATAGGTGTGTAATAGGACCTTATTGTGGTTGTATTTGCATTTCTCTGACTACTGAGGATGTTGAGCATATTTTTTCATGAGCTTTTGTTCCCATGATATATGCTTTTTTTGTCGTTAAGTTTTCACCTTAGGGTGCGTGCACTCACCAGAGAGAGAGAGAGAGACAGAGACAAAGATAGTGAGAGGGAAAGTGAGAAATCATCCCACAAGGGGTGGCCACACTACAATCCCTTCTCCTCCCAGGATCTTGGGCACACACGCACATGCGCTCTGCATGACTTTCAAGCCCCCAGGTCAGGTCCAGGGCTTGAACTGTGGTTAGCCATGTGGGAGTCCAGTGATGTAACCACTACACCTTCTACCAGCCCCAGTATATGTTCTTTAGTAAAGTTATTTCTTCAAACTTTTTGCACATTTCAAAGATTATGTTGTTTGGGAACCAGCAGTTAGCGTAATGGCTATGTCGCTGGACTCCCACGTAGTCAACTGCGGTTCGCGTCCCGGACCCAGTGGCTTAAAACTCATGCTGGGCATGTGTGCGTGCGTGCCCAAGATCCCGAGATGAGAATGGAGGAGAAGAGATTGCGGCATGACCATTCCCTCGGGGGGGTGATTTCTCGCCTTCTGTCTCTATGTCTCTCTCTGTCTGTCTGGCGAGCGCACGTGCCCTATAGTGAAAACCTCTCCAAAAAAAATAAAAATAAAAAAATTATGTTGTTTTATTGAGTTTTTAAAATCTTTTGTATACAAGAAGTCTTCAAAAAGTTTATGAAATGTGCATATTATGAAAAAACTATTCATAATTTCACATTTTTTTACACTAAAATAAACTTACACTTTCACTCCATTTTTCCATGAACATTTTGAAATATCATTGTATTTTGGGTGAAAGTTCCTGATCAGATATAAACACCATCTTCCAGTTTGTAGTATGTTTTGTTTTTGTTTTGTTTTTATTCACTCATCATTGTCTTTCACAAGGCAGACGATCTTAATTTTTATGGAGTCCTATTTATCATTTATTTTCTTTTGTGAATATTTTGGTGCTGTACTTAATAAACCTTTACCTAATCCAAGTTCACAAAGATTTTCTTTTATGTTTGCTACCAGAAGTTTTATAGATTTAGGAATTACTTTAAGGTGACTATTGCATTTTAATTTGATTTTTGCGAATAGATTTATTTTTTCAACTATGATACTCAATTGTTCCAACACCATTTGTTGAAGAGAATATCCTATCTCTGTTGAATTATCTTTGCGTCTTTATTGAAAATCAATTGACCATTAATATTTTGAATAATTTCTGGACTTGTACTTTTGTCCCATCAATTTATCCTTTCACAAATGTCTGCTATTTTTTCTTAAATCTTAAAACCAGTTAGCATGAGTCTTTCGACTTCTTTCTTTTTCAAAATTGTTTTGGCTAGTCTAATTCCTTTGTTCTTCCCTATTAGTTTAGAATCAGCTTGTTGACTTCTATAAAACATCTTACTGAGACTTTGGTTAGAATTACATTAAATACATAGATTATTTGGGGGATGGATTGACATCCTAACATAAGTAAGTGTTTCAATCCATGAACATGGTACATTTCCATTTATTAATGTCTTCTCTGACTGTTTTTCATGGGTGCTTTGTAGTACTCAGCATAAGGATCTTGCACATATTTTGTTAGATTTTTCTGTAAGTATTTTACTTCTCTGGTGCAATCATAAATGATTCTACTTTTATTTCACTTTCCAATTGCTCATTACTAATATAGAAATACAATTGATTTTGCATATTGTGTCTTGCAACGTTGTTAAACATACATACCCCTTGGGTTTTCTAGAAAGACAATTATGTCATCCCTAAATACAGACAGTTTTATTTTTTCCTTTCTAATGTATATCCTTTTATTTATTTATTTTTGCCTATTACATTGACTAGGACCTCTAGCGTGATGTTGAATAAGAGGAGTTGAGAGAGCAAACATCCTTGTCTTATACCTTATATTAGGAGAAGGCATTTAATATTTTAACATAGATCATGATGTTAACCGTAGGCTTTTAAATATATATATATATATATATA